AGAGAGAGACTGGGGGGGCGGCGAGATGGGGGTGGTAGTGGAGGGGGAGTGGTGGAGGAGACGGGGAACCGACGGGATGGGGGGGAAGCTTACCTGCTTCTTCCTCCTCTGCCTGCTCTGTGTGGAGCTCCCCCGCTCCTCCCCCCGCGATTTTTGCAGGTCCCCTTTCTTGTAGATATATATTTAACAGGTTCCTACTGAGGTATATCCAACAGTCCCTCTTTACAATAGATACAACTCTGGGAAAAACATTGCAGAACTCAGTGGTAGTCCCCAAGGTGGTGCAAGTTTTTCAATGCCCCTTGGCTTAAAAAAAAAAACAGGGCAAATTTTACATCAGCCAAGAGTCTGTTGTTGTCTCCCACCCGGGGGGAGGGGGGGAGAACACCATTAAATCAGGTGGTCCAGTTTAGCGAAATCCACTAACCACCTCTAAGTGGTACCCACCCACATGAGCTTTTCTGACAGAGGAGGAACAAAACGATTCACTGCTCTTTCTCTGGCACCCGGCCTTTGCCGTTTTCTAAGAACCTTTGGAAGCATCACCATTGCCATCGCCCCTTCCCTCCACTGTAAGCCTTCATTTTATTCAAATAGCTCTTTGAAATGTACAGTTAAGCTGACAGCCTGCATTTTAGTGTGCTGCTCTTTGAGACCTGTCACGTCTGACCTTCTCTGAGGGCCACATCAATGTGTGTGCAGACAGATGTGGGCATGTGACAGCAATTGGGCTTTCAAACAACACATTTCTTCCCCCCCACCCCCAGCCTATGCTTTTAGCATGTGCCTCACGTTTGAAGCAGCTCTGACAAACTGAGCCTAGAAAACCGCTGCTTGGCATATTTAAATACTCTTTGGGGGTCATTTTGTGGTAGGAGAGATAAATTGGGGATATTTCAAGGCAGCCGGCTCCTAACATGTCTGCAGCAGTGAATTAGGGGAAGTGCTGCCTTTCCACTCCCCAAGAGAATCCCATAACTATTGTCTGTCTCTTTTCCACGGGCAGAGCTGGAGAGAGGGTTCTTTCCACCTGCAGGCTGACACCGTTAGAAAGCAAATTCTGTACACAGACATAAAAATGAAGATGGCAGTCCTGAATATACGTAATTAGATGGGGTGAAGTGGTAGATATGAAGTGTACTTTTTCAGACTGCAGGTAAGGTAATGGTAAAGGTTCCCTTACTCGAAAGCCAGTCGAATCCGACTCTAGGGTTGCGGTGTTCATCTCCGTTTCAAAGCCGAAGAGCCAGCGCTGTCCGAAGACGTTTCCGTGGCGTGACTAAACACCAAGGCGCATGGAACGCTGTTACCTTCCCACCGAAGTGGTACCTATTTATCTACTTGCTTTTTCAGACTGCAGGTAAGGGACTCCATTTTTGAACGCACCCCTTCAGATTCCTCCCCGCAGAAGGAAAGGGAGGGAGGGCCAGTGCCCGATAGTGATTAGAGGACTAGGATCGGGGAGCTCCAGTTTCAAATCCCTCCCCTCCCATGAAGCTCTTTGGCTGATCTTGGGCCAGGCAGTCCCTGTCGGTCAGGTGGTAGAATAGGAAGGGGGAGCCAGGGATGCTGTTCTGGTTCTTTGAGCGATGGAACCAGGCCCCTGCTGAGGAACAGCAGCCAGAACCACCAGAAGACTCCGTCATCTAGAACTGTGTTAGAAGGGTCAGCTGCCTTGGGAGCAGAAAGGGGGGCTCCAAATGTTAAAGATCATCTGGACAGTGTCTTGGGTAACTTGACTGTAAAGTGCCTGAGGGAAGGGTAAGTGGAGGTGCTGCCTCAGGGCAAGGGTGGAGGAGACCAGAAAGAGGGGGCTAAGGAGAAGGACTTATGGGCAGGAGCAGGAGAATGGAATTCTAACTTTGAAAGGAGGTAGGGACCCATTTCCTGGACCCTCCTGTGGTCTTTATCATTTTCATTAAAATAAAATAAAAATGTCTATTGTTTTTCAGCAGAAGTAAAAGGTTACATCAGTCTAATAATTTCTAGGTAGGCTGGGCCCACTAAGTCGTCTTCAGCTAGGGTTCCCAGCCCCCAGGTCCGAGCGGGGGATCCCCTAATTTGGGGGCTTCTCCCCACCATGGACCAGCTGGCTGGCGGGGGAAACCCTGCCCCTGTGGCGACATCCCCGATGCGATTATGTCACCCGGAAGTGATGTCATTGCATTGGGGACATTGCACCGGGGACACTCTGGTTTTGGGGCAAAAGTCTTAATGGTTTGAGGGTGAATTTACCATAGAGTTTTGCCCCAAAACCAGAGCATTGCCAGCCTTCAGTCCGTGGATTGGGTCCCTCGTGGGTTGCAGAGCCCCTATAGCTGGAGTTTCCAACGTGGTGCCCCTGGGCTCCATGGCACCCACCAACACTTTTTCTGATGCCCACCAGGTGTTTTAGGAAGTGGGTGGGGCCAGGTAGGGCTTTTGCCCAGCAGGACTTCTGATTGACTACTGGAGATTTGATTAGCTGTGCAGATCTCTTGGCAGCAGCTCCCACCACAGCACAAAGATCTACTCTGTGTCACTAAAGTTAAGCTGTGCCAATCATTTTGTACCTCTTGTGGCAGCCATTTTGTTGCTGCGCCTACCATGTGGCGTTGCAACTCCAGAAGTGCCCACAGGCTCAAAAAGTTTGGGGATCCCTGTCCTGTAGATCCACCAGTTTTTTGCTAGCTTTTGGAAGAACCTCCTGCAAGCATGTGTGCATAGAATGCCTGCCTCCTGTCTCCGATTGCAGATATGCTAGAAGGGGCAGCAGGTGAGGTCACTTGGTGGAGAGGATTCCCTCGTGACTCTGACCCTTGGCTTGCTCCTCACTGTGCCACAACTCCTGAGGCTCAGCTTGTATTTCATGCCCCGGCTCTCTTGGTCTGCTGCCCACGTTCATAGGCCTTTGATACTCATGAGGCCATAGCTCTGCCCCCCCCTTCTCTGATGTGACTAATACCACGTGACTTCCTATCACATGCTTGCAGCACAGTGGGGGTTCTTAGGTCTGGAAATGTGGAAGATCACCGTATTAAAATAACTTGTGTAGGCTGGACCCACGCTGAATTCCAGCCCTGCGTGCTAAGGGGGAAAGAGACCGGAATCTTTGGGCTACGGGCCATGAGACACATAGTGGCTAAAGGAATGGAACTGAGTAGGCAGGGAGCTGAAAAGCCAGGCCTTTCCCACCCTAGCTTGAATGAACTGGCCAATTCATTGGCTGTAGGCTTCTAGCATCTCATATCACAGTCCTCCTTGGGTATGTGAATGCAGAGTAGGAGGCTGTGCTTTTTACTGTTGTCATGCAAGGCTTTTGTTCATTCATGATTGTTTACTTCCGCAAGCAACCCTGCTATGCGCTTTTTGTTGTTTGGTTGACTTCTCCAGCTGGTGCAACTGCTCTGAAAATCACATGGATAACGTGTCTTCTTTGGATTGCAGCATACAAGAAACTGTTCTTTATCAACGTTCTTCTTGTCCTCATTGCACGTGCAAATCCCCCCCCCCCATTGTTGTTTTTTATAAACAGCACATGGTCATTTGATCATATTAAAGAAGAGCCAGTATAAAAGAGGGGTTAAACTTCCTGAGGGAGCTACGGTGGCTCAAGTGGTTAAGACGCTGAACTGCAGGCTATGGAAGGTCGGTAGTTCAGCAGTTCAAGACCCAGGTGCCGCATGACGGAGTGAGCTCCCGTCTCTAGTTCCAGCTCCTGCCAACCTAGCAGTTCGAAAGCAAGAAATTGCAAGTAGATAAATAGGGACCACTTCAGTGGGAAGGTAACAGCGTTCCGTGCGCCTTGGGGTTTAGTCATGGCGGCCACATGACCACGGAAACGTCTTCGGACAGCGCTGGCTCTTCGGCTTTGAAACGGAGATGAGCACCGCAACCCTAGAGTCGGATTCGACTGGCTTTCGAGCAAGGGAACCTTTACCTTTACCTTAAACTTCCTGAACCATGGTAGGGGGGGACAGGGATCAAACCTGCCTGGGGCATGAAGCTCCCTCAATCATTTTGAGCAAGTTGCTCTCATTCAGCCTGCTTCAGAGGGAGCAGAGAAATGGAAGCACACCGCCAGTTTGTGTCACTCCTCGGAGGAAGGGTGGGCTATAAATGTGGGTATAATGTAGGAGTAATTTGCTGATTAACCCCACCCCCAACATTTAAAATGGCACCTTTTCTTGAATGTCCATAGAGAGAATCAGAAGACTGACTCCCAGTAAAGAAGCCATCCCACGCTAGCATCAAGTTATAACCACTACCAATATGGTTACACTTTTTGAAACTGTAGTGATCAATCCACCCAGTGACCCAACTCATAGGGAAATCTGTTGGAACTGGATTTTGATGTCAGTTTTTGGGTTTCTTACTGCTTTTCTTTTCTTTTTGTGTATTTTGTTTACAGTGGGAGCCAAGATAGAAGACTCAGCACAGCCCTCGCCAACTCAATCAAACTTTTCAGTATTGGAACTGGCCCCTCCCCCCACCCCCCAGATCACAGAGAAGGAAGAAGATCTGGACTGAAAATGTTTCTAGGCCATCCCCAGTGGCAGAGTGGTCAGGTATTCATGTGCCTGTTTGATTAGGCTGCCATCCTTTTTAAAAGCCCCTATCAGCTGCTTGGTAGAGCAGTTAAGAATTTTTACCTGTATCAGAATGGTGATACAGACGCCAGAGTGCCTAAACTGTCTGCTCTTTTAAAGCAAAACCCCACATATCAGAACAAGAAGCCAACTGGCATCCCGCCTAAACCTGCAACTTAATCTGAGCTTGATCCCATCAACTTTAGTGTGATGGAAAGAACTTGGATTAACTTCTGCACAGTCTGGTTTAAGTGGGTTGAAATTGATCATTGAATCAGGCATCAGCTGAAGTTCTGACGGAGCGAGTGGTCTTCATAGAGTGGTCGGGGAGATAAAGGCCCATTGGTCACACACAAGAATTTCTGGTAAGAGGGAGCAGAAGACAGCTGGCTCAGTGGCTTCCGCCCTACTACCTCAAAGTAATAAAAGGCCTGCTTTAGGTTGAGAATGTCACTCCCACTGTTTTCTGATGCTCCCGTACTTAAACACACCCCAATGTCAAGGCACTGTGATTTCAGCAAACCCCACTCATTGTTTAAGTGGAACCTTTTGTCCCGCATCAAAACTTTTGCAGGGAAAACAGCCACACACATACACAAGAAACGGCCATTACTCTTAAAACAAGTCAATGCATCCTTTGGTCACCACAAGTGTAGCGTCAGACTTAACCAGAGATACCCAGAGTATTGCTGTGCCCATTCTGAGCAGCTGGAAGCCTCTCATCTCCAGGAACCAGGGCTGCAGACCACAGAACTTTGTGGCACCTGGGCTCAGTGGACTGGACACCAGATCTGCCACCACTGTGAAATGACCACAACAATGTAAGTAAATAGTAAAGCCTTTATTTTTTGTTTGTTAAGAACAGCATTTTGAAAATAAAATGTATTTGCCCATGCTTTACAATTTTTTTTTTAATCTTGTATATTTATGTACAGTCATGGTACACATTGATTGTCTTGAAAACCCTTCAAAGATGTACAAGATTAACGGTATGCAACAGTCAGCAGGGAGGAAAAGGGGTACATTATAAAACGCACATTAATACATTTAATAAATATATATTATCAAAAATGAGACTTGGCTCTCATAAATTAATAAAAAGCACCTGCCGTGTAATCTGGTAAGATGGTATGATAACCTGATCTGTCCTGTTCTTATAAAAGCTACAATGCTTCCATTTGTTCCGCCTGGGGTTAGAACCGAGGCATAAAGCAGGAAAGTTAGCCAGATAGGAGAACTGTCCTTGTAAATGCAGACAGAGCTAGAATTCTAACACACCTTGCTTATCTAGAGCTTCCTACCTAGGAGGGAATCTTCTGGGGACACACTACCGCTTCAGACACCATGAACTGAGCCCTAAAAAGTATTAGCCCCAACCCTGCCAAGGGAGATGCCAGTCTGGAAACCACCTTCCATTTCTAGATTGCCCCTACCAAGGGTACAAAGCCTCCTACTTCCAAACTGTGTGGTTGCTCCACACACATACCACTGAGTGGACAGTGGCACCAGCACCCATCAGTGGAATCAGCCATATCGAACTCCACAGGGTTTTGATAGGACAGCCCATTCCACATGGGTACACCACCACCAGTGACTGGAGTGGGACATACGCTGTTCACAGAAAATTAAGAATGCTCAACGTGTTGGAGACGTTTAGTGTTTTCTGAAATGCGCCTAATCAACCCAGCTCCATGAAGGTCCCTGGGAGTTTTGCTGTGGGCATCAGAGAGGTGTGGGTTGTAAGTTGTGGGCACAGTCCCTTCAAGACCACCCTCACATAAACTTTGCATAGGCACAGGGTATGATGGGTTGCTGCCAGCTCTCAAGGGGAAAACCACTTTGCTCATCTAGAAAACACTTACATAACAAGGTTCCAAGGCGCTTTAGCACTTCATTGTTTTCTATCATAACAGCATTATTAAGTTGGCAATGATGGAAGACATAGTACCTTTTATGCTTACCAAAGTGAGTTACTGTGAAACTGAATCCTGACATAATTTGTGCTTACTGTTGTGGAGTTGCTTTGCTCACCAGATGCACTACATTCTAAATAATTTTCAGAAAAGGCAAAAAGTATACACACCTTTGTTACATTGACAAAAATATAACTTAAACACAAAAGTGCCTTTTGTATTTCCAATCATACATCATTCGGGGTGGCATCCGACATCACAAACCACAGACTGACAAAAAAAAAAGCAAGTGGTTCAAAAGTAAGTTGCTGGGGAGGGGGGAGAATATATATATATATATCCCTTTTTATAGTTTAAAATCAACACACCTCCCCCACCACTATGTAGCATGGGCCAGGTTCACATGAGTGGTTATTGGAAGTCCTGTATTTGCAGGATCCAGCCCTGTCTTTGTTTAAGATCCCAAACTGCCATTGGCTTAATGGGGAGCAGGATCGCTAAATCCCTTCTTGTCTAGAAAAGAAAAATTAAACATCTTAATACATTGCTTTAATGACCTTTAAAAAAAAATCATCACCCCCCCCAATTAAAAATAGATCATTTTATTTTCTCCACAGAGTTTTGCAGACACTAAACTGCTCTACCATTTTTACCATGATCATCTTATGTATTTCAAAAACCCACTTTCAAACTGCAGTTCTGCTCCTAAAACAATGCACACACATATTCAGAAAGCACCAACCAAGATTTCTGTGCCAAACGTAATATTTCCTGAGTTCTGGTTTACCCAATTCCTTTAACCACAGTGTCCTATTCTTTATCAATCAAGTCCTCAGGAAGGTCTAGATTGGTGGACAATAGGAAATCCCTAGCCTTTACTGTGTGCATCTCATTAGTCCATCAACTTCTCATTGATTCATAGTCTAATGAATATATTTGTGAAAGCATTTATGTGACTTGTTTATCTTGGTCAGAGTGATCTCTTTGAGAAGCAACTTGGTTCATATGATGATGCACAACAGAAAGTTATTGCTATTATCTACTAATATAATTTAAAGAATAAAAAAATCTTGCTAAGATGATCGTGTTAAGAGTGGCAGCACCAGAGGGGATATCACATTCAACCCGATCCCGCAGCCCTTCCTCTGCCAAAATAAATAAGACTACTGTGAACGCCTTAAAGGCTTGCAAGCTTTTTTTCTTGCATAGGTTTACGTGGTCTAGAGCTCCCATGGATCCTAGAATAAACACTTCTTGAGGATGACACAAGACCTCTGTTGATTTTTGCTGGGGTAAATTAACATGGCTACTCTCTGGAGCTATTTCGTGGCCAGGTAGACCGTTCTAGTGTCCGTGTGGCAACCAAAATAGCCTCACTGACACGGCCAATCTGTGCCTTGGCCTGTACCACTTCAGAATGCAGGTGGATTCACGCGATGGACCATCTTTCCCAAGCAAACCATTCATTCCACAGAGAAAGCTGGCAGGAATTGGACTAGAACCCTTCTCCACACATCCAAGAGACTGTTTCCAGCCTGTCCTTCTCCCAGGTATGCTAGTTTTCTAGAGGCAGGGAATAGTTTTGTTTTGGTGCACCACACACACACACACACACACACACAGCCATCTGCCTCTGAAGCAGCAGAAGGTCAGGTCTACCCAGTACCAGAAATGGGGTATGTGAAGAGGTGTTCTCCCCTCTCCCCAAAAAGTGTCTTTTCTTTCCACAAGATGCAGAAGCTGCTGAGTTATTTATTGTTTCTGTATATCTTTTTACTAATCATTCAAAAGTAGAAATGTATTTCTACCAGAGCAAATGCAAATCAAAGGTCCATCCTACTACCTAGTTTGTAATCTGTTGTCCCCGTGACAGGAAACCAACCAACCTCAGTTTGCTTTTAGTCTATAGAAAAGCAGAGTGTGATGGCGGCCAGCACTGAGGATGTAATATGACTCATTCACATGCCCAGTATTCATTTCAGTGCTAAGTAATGAAGGAATGCTTTTGCCGAACACCACTAAAACCATAGACATATGAAAAAGGCAGTGAGAACATGGGACCCTCTGGAAAGAAAAGGGGGGGGGAAGGAAAAACTTCTTTCCCCAATAACCAAAACAAAAATAATCCCAGACAAAATAAAAGGCTCCATAAATTGAACACGCAGTAAAAATGCAATAAAATTAACAAACCATTTGCAGTCCATGAAGCTTCAGTGTTTAGCTGGGGGTGGAAAGGAAGGTGTGGTGGGGAGGGGATGAATCTGATCTTGCAGGTTTTGGTGCCCTCCAGAGAAGCCTCTCCACTTTCCTTGTTTTTGTCTCCCATCTTCCTGTTGCAATCGTGTCTATAATGTTTGCATGTGGGAGAGATTCTGTGAAACTGTCCTTAAACTCCAAGTGGGGGGCCTGAAGACAGTCCCTGCATCATCATGGGCATGAACTATGTCGTCTCGGTCTGCAAAACATCAAGCCCTACCCCCCTTACATCAGCTTTGACAGCACTGCCCCACCCCATATGCACACAAAGGGCTGGGTGACCTCCAGTAGCCATTTCTCGGGAAAAAGAGACCCATTTGGCAACCATGGCAGGAGACCCGATGGGGTCACTCTGTCTTTTTTTTTTTAACAGTTTGGTGTATCTGACAAGCAGGCACCACCACCTGCCTTTGTATAGCTTGTCTCAGAAACACACTATGTGGCATATAAAAATAACCCCTTCTTTCCTCTGGGGTGAGTTTGCAATCAAAGGTCCATTGTGGATCCTAAGGGACAGTCAAGCTGCATTCTAAAGGAACAACTGTGGACCTTTCAAAATGATCACAGAAAGACTGACAAAGTAAAAAGACACCCTACAAGGGCAGTCTTTTATGGCAATGTGGATTGAGTTTTGATAAGGACATTGCTTTGACACATTTAGTTTTATTTTGTTTGCCTTGCACGCCGGCTTCAGCCAAAAGCTCTCTTGCTGTTTCGGAACACTGTGTCCCCTGCACCTATTTTAAAATTTAGTTTCAGCTTTTATTTCACTGCAGAGGTTTTGCTTTTGTGGTTAGCTTATAAATTCAATGTTCACATTTGTTTTTGTTTTTTAAAAAAGTAAAACGAGCTATTGGATCTAGGACACCCCAAGCTCCCGGTTGCTGGGATGGTGGTTTTGCGTTGCTTTGTCCTTTGCTAGCATTGACTCCTCCCTCATAATGACACACTGCCAGGATATAAAACCTGTTAATCATCCTCTCTCATCCTCTAAAGCCTAGAAAGCTTTTTCACCAAAGGTGTCTTCCAGTGTAACTTGGCGGAGCAGTTGGAATCTGGAAATAAGAATAAACCCATAACTAAGTATCCTAGACTGTTCAAAAATCACATTTAAAAAGAAGCAGCAGCAGCAGCTACATCACTCAGACAAACACACAACACTGTGGTCATGTCCTATAGAAACACAGAGTGCCACTGATCGTTTATCTGCTCAGGGGTACTTCCAGTGTGACTTCACCCACTTCAGCTTAAAAGCACTGAAGTGCTGATTCACACAATGGCTGCCTCCAAGCACCTGCATCACAGCCAGTGGACGCTGCCGTCCTACACAGACAGCCGGTGGTGAAGCAGCTCTGCAACACCATTCTCCAAAGGCTGGAAAAGCTGTGTTCCTGGCTCCATTGGTAAGAACAGTGCATAAAGAACCAGCAATGCTATGGCTGAGCCTGCACAATAAAACCATCAACTATTGTTTCATTACCAGAGATGCAACTGTAGAATACGGTGGCAGAATACTGATTCCTCACCTCCTGATGTAGGAAGTGGTTACAGCCCTAGGGTTGCCAAGTCAGTTCAACTCACCAGTGGGGGAGCGTTGGGTCGATCCGCGCCGCCAGAACGTCACAGGAAGTGACGCATGACGTAGAG